TTGTGTGTTTTGTTTATATATATATATATATATATATATATATATTCAACAAATGCAATTATCATTTAAATTTAAAGATAAATTAATTTAAAATTATATAATTTAAATTTTAAAGATATAAAAAAATGAGAGTTGAGCTGATATAATTTAATCGACTCGACAAGTTTGTGAACAATCTAAGATAACTGATAAAAATATAATTTTATAAAAATAAATTCAAGATAATATTTTTTTAAAAAAAATATTGAGATGACAACATATTAGATCGACTCAAATTAATCTAGGTTAACCTTTCAAATTTACGACATAGATTATAAGACCATGATAATTCCAAATAAAATAAATTATGAAACTTAATTCTCAATAAACTTATTTTTTAATGATGAAATTAAAAAAAATTTAATTTTAAAAAAGAATACAATAAAATGATCTAAATTTACTCGAATTAACTTGCAACATCCATTATCTAGATAATGAAGTTATGATAATTTCATAAAAAACAAACTGAAATAAATAACAAAACTTAATTTATAATTAATTAAATATTAAAAATGTTGAATAGTAAAATTAAATAAAAATTAATTAAATAAATAAATAATACCATATGTGTGAAATAAAGCGGCTGGAATGGAAGTGGAAAGTTGCGAGATGAAATTTTTATGGTAGCTTTTAATTTTTAAACTAGCATAAGATATAATATAGTGGTCATTTCAGACAGACAACATGGAATGGAATTTACAACCTTTATCTTTACCTAAAATTGTAAACGAACTATGAATAGCTAGAAATTTGCACGGCTGTCAATTATGGAGAATGACATTGCGGTGTCTCTAACACTCGTGCAGTCAATTTAGGGACTTACTTACACTTGAGTTTATGACCTAGTGATACAGGGGTTTTTTTTTATCTTAGCACTCCGGTTCAATTGTTTTTGTATATGCCTGTTATTTTTATAATGACTTACCTATTTATTAAATTTGTGAGATATTCAATAAATTTAGAGATTAATTATAATATACATATAAGCTGATTCAAACACTCTGAATTATTAAAAAAATAAATTAAAGAACCTACTTGCATGGAAATATAATATGAAACGGTTTGCTCTAAAGGCAACTCATGCAAAAGCAACAAATAAGAGTTCAATAATATAATTACCTTGTTTCCAACACTCACTACTCTTGTTTAGTCTTCTTCTTATATTAATTTAAAAACACCCAGCTAATGACTTTGATTTCTCGTCTTTAAATGTGTTACACGTTCACCCATGCTGTCAGTCATCAACAAAGGGACCTTCTTGTGTGGAAATATTTGCAATGCAATATTCCACACTGTAAGAGACAACCCTTACCGTATGGTTTCAAAAGCAAATGTTATGGAACATGTATTGAAGACTCACAAAATAAAAAGAAAAGCCTTGTTGCTAAGGGGAAGTGGATTGCCAGGAAATTCAAATGATAAATGCTTTATCTTCACGTCTCAAAGCATTTTTATTTTTATTTTTATTAATGTTGATTTCCGGATCAAATTATATATATCTTGATTAATCCTATAAACTCTAAAATTAATAATAATATAAATTATCAATAACTTTAAAATGACTCGAATTCGGGACTATTAATCGAGTTCTCAAAGCTTTCTTAGTATACCCACTGCTATAATTAACAATCTTTACGCATCTTCACCTAAAATTGTAAATGAACTATTCAGAAATTTGCACAAAAAATGTCATTAATGAAAACTAATATTTTCGTGTTTCCAACGCTATTGTATGGTCACTTAAGGGACCTACATGTATGGAATATAACTTGAAACGGTTAGCTGTAGAAGCAACTCATGCAAAAGCAACGCGTTCCCAACACTCACTCTTGCTTGGGCAACGTGTTTTCACAGTTTAAACATAGCTTTTAGATTAATTAAAATGGTATTCAAATGATTTTTTTAGAGACACAAATTGATAAATGAAGATTATTTAACATAGACGTAACAGATGCTCAACAATTCTTGTATACTTTCATCTACGTTGGTACTTAAATATTGATTGGTTGGTGTATAAATAGTACCAATGCAAATCTTTATCTCTCACCTTTCGTTCGACACTCCAAATATACTTTCGATTCCTGTAAGGCCAGCCACCATGGGGCTTTCACCACTGTCCCTCTCTCAATTTCTCTCGTCCATTCTGTTTCTCTTCCATTTTCACACAACAATTTCTTCATCAAATTACTCCTCTTCATCTCATTTCTGTGCTCCTGACCAAAGCCTTTCTTTGCTCCACTTCAAAGAGTCCTTTTCCATTAATAGCTCTGCTTCAGGGCGTTGCCAGCATCCCAAGACAGAGTCGTGGAAAGAGGGTACAGACTGCTGCTCGTGGGATGGGATCACTTGTGACCTGAAAACCGGGCAAGTCACTGCACTGGACCTTGCTTGCAGCATGCTTTATGGCACCCTCCATTCCAACAGCACCCTCTTCTCCCTGCATCATCTTCAAAAGCTCGACCTCTCTGACAATAATTTCCAAAGCTCCCATATTTCTTCTCAATTTGGCCAGTTCTCCAATCTGACATATCTTAACCTAAATTACTCAGTCTTTGCAGGTCGAGTTCCGTCGGAAATCTCTCATCTCTCCAAATTGGTTTCACTTGATCTCTCTGGAAACGGCTATGTGAGTGTAGAACCAATTTCTTTTGACAAGCTTTCTTTTGACAAGCTTGTTCGAAATCTAACCCAGCTTAGAGAACTCGATCTGAGTTCAGTAGACATGTCATTGGTTACACCCAATTCCTTGATGAATCTGTCTTCTTCTTTGTCGTCACTCATACTCCGTTCCTGTGGACTGCAAGGAAAATTCCCATCCTCAATTAGAAAATTTAAGCACCTCCAGCAGTTGGATCTTGCAGATAACAATCTTACAGGTCCAATTCCATATGATCTTGAGCAACTCACTGAGTTGGTTTCACTTGCTCTCTCTGGAAACGAAAACGACTATCTTAGTCTAGAATCAATTTCTTTTGACAAGCTTGTTCAAAACGTAACCCAGCTTAGAGAACTCTATCTGTGTTGGGTGAACATGTCATTGGTTGCACCCAATTCCTTGATGAATCTGTCTTCTTCTTTGTCATCACTCATACTCTATTCCTGTGGACTGCAAGGAAAATTCCCATCCTCAATGAGAAAATTTAAGCACCTCCAGCAGTTGGATCTTAGAAAAAACAATCTTACAGGTTCAATTCCAGATGATTTTGACCAACTCACTGAGTTGGTTTCAATTGATCTCTCTTTCAATGATTATTTGAGTGTAGAACCAAGTCCTTTTGACAAGATTATTCAAAACCTAACCAAGCTAAGTGGTCTCCGTTTGGGTTATGTAAATATGCCTTTGGTCACACCTAATTCCTTGGCGAATCTGTCCTCATCCTTGTCACCTCTAGCCCTTTGGGGTTGTGGATTGAAAGGGAAGTTCCCAGGTAACATCTTTCTCCTACCAAACCTTCAAGTACTTGATTTGACATTCACCGGCGACCTCACTGGCTCTTTCATTTTTCTCCTACCAAACCTTCAAGTACTTGATTTGACATTCAACGGCGACCTCACTGGCTCTTTCCCTTCGTCCAATGTGAGTAATGCCCTCAGGTTATTGGGTCTTTCTCATACGAGAATTTCAGTTTATTTAGAAAATGACTTCTTCACTAATCTAAAGTTGTTGGAAGTTCTGTCTCTTAGAAGCTCTAATATCATAAGATCAAATCTAACCCTGATTGGTCATCTCAATCAACTCACCCGTTTAGATCTCGCAGGTAATAATTTTGGCGGTCAGATTCCATCATCACTTGAAAACCTTGTGCAACTTCGTATTTTGTATCTCGATTCCAATAATTTTTTGGGTCAGATTCCAGATTTTTTAGGTAACCTAACCCTCCTTGAAAATTTAGGTTTATCCAATAATCAACTTTCAGGACCTATTTCTTCTCAAATAAATACCCTTTCATTGAGATTCTTTGATTTGAGCAAAAACAACTTGCATGGTCCAATCCCAAGTTCAATTTTCAAACAAGAGAACCTGGAAGCCCTTGTTCTTGCATCCAACAATAAATTAACAGGTGAAATTTCTTCTTCTATTTGCAAGCTTAAATTCCTTCGACTCCTTGATTTGTCCAACAACAGCTTGAGTGGTTTTATACCACAATGTTTAGGGAACTTTAGCAACTCTCTCTCAATTTTGAATCTTGGCATGAATAATCTTCAAGGCACCATTTTTTCACCATTTTCAAAGGGGAATAACTTGGGATATCTCAACCTAAATGGAAATGAATTGGAAGGGAAAATACCATCGTCTATCATCCACTGCACATTGCTGGAAGCTCTTGATCTTGGCAACAATAAGATTGAGGACACATTTCCCTATTTTCTAGAAACACTTCCAGAGCTTTATGTTCTTGTACTAAAGTCCAACAAACTCCAAGGTTTTGTGAGTAGTTCGACTACTAATAATTCATTCTCCAAATTGCGGATTTTGGACATCTCCAACAATAGTTTGAGTGGACCTTTGCCAATAGGGTATTTCAGTAATCTCGAAGCGAAAATGACCTATGATCCTAATATATATTACATGATGGCAGTGACATGGGAAGGGTTCGAAACTGAGTTCACGAAAATCCAAAGCACTCGTAGAATACTTGATTTGTCAAATAACAAATTCACCGGTGAGATTCCAGAGTTGATCGGAAAACTTACAGCAGTCCAACAACTTAACTTCTCTCATAATTCCCTTACTGGTCATATTCAATCATCTATAGGAATGTTGACCTATCTGGAATCATTAGATCTGTCTTCAAATTTGTTTACTGGAAGGATTCCAGTACAGTTGGCAGATCTAACATTTCTTGCGGTCTTAAACCTTTCACATAACCAGCTTGAGGGGGCCATACCCAGTGGAAAGCACTTCAATACGTTTAATGCAAGCTCATTTGAAGGAAACTTGGGTTTATGTGGATTTCCAATGCCAAAAGAATGCAATAGTGACGAGGCACCACCATTGCAGCCA